AGAGACTGATATAAGCCGACGGACGGCCGAGATAATTCAGCAGAAGGTTGGATGGAATAGGCCCAAGGACATATCCCACAAAGAACACCGAGAGCCCGACCTGGTATTCTGAGCCGGAGAGATGGAGATCCTGCTCTAGACCCTGGAGACGGGCTGCGGAATAGTTTGACCTAGGCAGGTCAGTCGAATTCTCCATGATCTGTGGATGCGGTATACCGGTCTATGAAGTTGAGAAGATATATCAAAACAGCAATAGGCATAATTCGTATATCCAACTTTCGACGTAGTTTGGGCTCGATCTCGCGCTCATCCTCGGAGAGTGAGTCGACGACGGGTGTCGAGTAATCCGTGGACGACCCGTCGTCATGTTGAATCACTTTTTCCGCCATTCTTTCGGATCAGATTTGCGCAACTTGCCAGATGAAGCCATCTTGGCAATTGAACCGCAGTCAACCCTTATATAGATGTTCGTGGCGAACTGTGGCTGACTGTCCAAGGTGATATGTGTTACCTCACTCTTCGCCCTTGCATTAACCTTCCATCAGGGCGAATTATGTGAGGCGTACTATCTGCTGGCTTCAAATCATCCCCAGCATAAGCGGTGAGCTCGTCTGGAATGACTCTGATAACACAGCAGGAGGGATGGGAGGGTTTGCAGCAGGGGCTTGCACGCAATAACTGTTGGATGAGGAGGAAGCAGACCTTTTCGCTTCGATCTCAAACCAGATGCAAGCGGACGTTGGTCTACCTCCTCAACCCATATTACCACCCGGAATTATACAGATCGTAATGCTTTAAGTGCACGAGCTCAGAGGAATCGGGGTCCGTTTAGAGGAAACGGACGTCTCGCAGTTGATGAAGGGCAGTCCTCGCACGTGCGCCCTGCACATCACAACATACTCTGGCCAACGTGTATAATCGACATACATCTGGATTTTAGAAAAGAAGCATATAGTTACTATCTTTGCTAATGCAAAATAGAAAGAGTCTGTGGTCATAATCACATTGCTGTGTTAAACGAAAAGAATATACAAGAACTAAACTCGAGATAATCCTCGGCGGGCACAGACCCTATAGATATGGCCAGGCTGGGCCTCAAAGCCCAAGAACCGCGTGCATTCTCATCTAAGCCTGAGCGGCAAAGCCGAGTCTGGGGCCCTGAGAGTCGAAGACGACGTACTGGCTCTTGAGGAAGATATCTCCGAAGATGGAGAATCCCAAGCCAGAGTTGCTCTGGATACCACCGAAGCAGGTGGAGCTGCCGGTAGTGACGGGGGAGAAGTTGATGTATTTACCAGGAACGACAGCGTTGTAGCCACCGATGACGGTAGTGAAGGAAGGAAGGCTGGTGGAGCAGGGGAAGACATAGCCACCGTATTGGCTGTTGTTTTCGGCCCCAGAAACTTGCGCGTAGTAGTCGGCAACGACGCTGTCATCGAGCAGAAGGAGGGTGGTGCCAGTGTCTAAAATGGATCAGTCTGGCACTTTTCGAACAAAACAGTGGTAAACATACCAGCAATGCCGCTGATCTGGTTGCCGTTGGCAGCCCCGTTGCCGACAGCGTAGCCATCAGCAGTGAACATCCAGAAACCCTGGGAGCTATCGACGTTGGTATACGTGAGTTGTCCCGTGTACTTGGAGTTGTCAATGTATCCAAAGTCGTAGGTTCCTGGAGCGTGGTACTTCAGGGTTGCAGCAAAGAGAGGAGAGTCCAACTGAGACTTGACTGTGTCAAAGAAAGTAGTCTGAGGCTGGGGAGAGACTGCATCGATCCGAGTCAGTGGGGCTGAGGGAGGAGCTGCAAATCTTGACAGAAACTCACCTGTGTTGATGGAGCTGAATGCCAGGCCCAGCAGGCCATCGTTGGCCGTATCCTGCACAAATTGAGAGCTGACTTGTTTGGCAGCCTCCACAGCCTGGCTGCTGGCAGTGACACCACCCACAGTGACGGCATCCTTGTAGACGTCACCGCTGGCAGTGCTACCATCACCATAGGAGATCTGCCAGGAGTAGCCACTCAGCTTTTTGGCAGTGGAGGATGGCTTGTAGATGGAATGACCGCTAGATTCGGAAGAAGGAAGCTCGGAGGAGAAGACCCAGCTACAACAGTTAGTCAATTCACTTCAGGAAGGACGAACAGGATGCGCTTACAGATCTGCAGAGCCAGTGTCAAAGTCCAAGTTCAGAGTTGTTCCACCGACTTTGACGGGAGTCAGGTATTCCGTGTCATATTGCTGGGGGGTAGTAACAGCGCTGCCGGAGCTTGCAGCCGCCTTGACACTGGCAGGGACTTGAGCGCCGTACTTGGACAAAGCATTGGCATAAAGGGCTGGAAGATTGACGGTCTTATTGTCGGCCACAGGCTTGGCCACTTGGTTGATAGTGAAGCCCTTGCGCGACTGAACCACGGGGACAGCAGACGCAATGGTCGAGAGACCGACGACGACAGCTGTGACTTTGCTAAAGACGACCATCTTGATGAAGCAACTGACGACTGGACCGGGGGGACGTAGAAACGAAAGAGAAGAAAGCAGAAGAGAGATCTCAAACTCTTGCTGAATGAGGATGAGGATGAGATTCCGTCAACAGGTGGTGAACATGCCTCCTTTTTATACTTTTGCTCTCTTCCATGAGCCTAGGAGAGATAGCAGGTACTGACGGAGTCACTCCGGAGTCAGGAGGAGCAAGTTTCACCTAAGCGTTCACGCCATATCTCTTATCCAGGAAGTCACGATGATGATCAACAAGATCAAGGGACATGCATGCCGTTATCCCATGGCTCGAAGACGAATTGTCACACCCATCCGGCTAGGCCAAGAGAAAAATGGAACGGCGCCCTGGCCGCGATTGTCCGTTCTAGATAGCGTAGCGGGGCGAATGAAGCAAATCAGCCCAAGCACCCATCCAGGAGGTTAGCGCAGAAGCCTTGAATGCTACGGCACAGTTGCATGTTGCTTGTTTAGGACAAGAGAGGACAAGACTTCTCTTGTCCTTCTGGCTATTCTTGTCCTGCTACCCGGCTGGATTGGACGGACAACGCCGGCTGTTCAGATATTAAGCTATCTAGGCAGGGCAKAGAAACAATCTCATTCGTTATGACCTGAAGATCGTCATTGATGGTGTTAGTGGCTTCAGTGGAGAGTGGGGAGCGCAGGACTCACGGTACTGAGCCAATCTTAGGAGCCTAGTGTACTTTGTAGATTAACTGCCTAAATTGACGGAGAAATTTAATCAGAATCGTCTGGGATTGACCGGACTCCGATGCAACTATGCAAGCCCCTGAGGAGATGGAAGCATGAGAGCTAGTCAGAGGACGACCCTGAGAGACCAGGGTCTCAGCAGGATTGAAACGTTTATTGGATGGATTCACGACATCACATGGGTGGTGATACATTTCAAGATTCACGGGAATTGAGAAGCCTACTTCGTAGAACGTGCTGGTTGAAGATGAACAATCGAGACTATAGGGAAAGCGATGGGCCTTACAAGTTACTGCCTTACTGCCTTGGCCCGTGAAGATCCCATGATCTTTCCTCTCTGTTCGATCCTTCGGTCATTGTATATTCTTCCTTCTATGAGTATATTCATCCCTCACCAGATATCACTATGGTAACTTCACTTCATGTCAACCTTACAAAACTACCTACAAATTGTTGAATCCTTCAACCACTCCGTCCTCTCTACCCCTAACGCCAAGCGACACCCTAATCCACCTGCGGAGACTAGCCAGGGCGCGATGTCACTTTGTGACTTTCACCATCCACTCACACTCAATCCCTTATCATTTTTCTTATTCAGTTTTCAGTTAGATGCTCCGAGGTCCCCGTCCACAACCCGAGGACTTCAGCCATTCAGAAGCTTCGATTCGGCTTTCACTCCAAATCCCAAATTTGAAAGGGTCGGAGTCCGAGCGAATACCGGTGCTGGACTGCCGTGAGATTCATCAGGTGCAGACAGAGGGCTTTGATCTCCAAAGATAAGCGAAGACGAAGGGACTCTGGAGCATAGCATGACTAAAATGGATCGCTCATCAGGGTCAGATCATTTGACTGCCCTGCAGGGTCAAATCGCAAGGCTATCCTCATCTGAGGCTGGATAGACCTACATGGTGGATACGCCCCCAGATCTCGTAGTAATATCATGATTACCCTCCCTACGGAGTACAAGCTGCGGCTTTCACATCAGTGGTCTGGACCAGCACTTAACAACAGACAAGAAGATAACCGCAGTTACTCGTAACAAGGCCCATTATCCCTACAAATTTCCGGAGTTCTGGCCGGGATCGAGGAGTCGATCTCCGTTCTGATCGGCAGTTTGAGCTCTTCGGTTACTTCGGATAGAGTATGGAGAATGGAGTCTGCCGCACAAGGGAAAAAAGCCCCCTGCGGGACGCATATGCGAGCTGAGATCACTACCCTCAGACAATAATTATTACAACGGCTAGACAATAAGTAATAGTCCGTTAGGCTAACTGTCGACAGAAAAGCGGTCATCCTCACACGGCATGAATGACCGTGCGACACGGAAACATCCAGAGTGCGTACCGTGTCTCGTTCTACAGTACTAGAAGGTCATTATTTAAGCTCGTGTCCGAGGGTCTGGAGTCCCGACATTTGAAACTCCCATAGAAACATACAAATGACACATGAAAATATCTTGAAACCGCCAAGCTGTCAGATAACCCTTCCTCATACACTATACAAGTCTTTGTCGAGAGCCATTGTCGAGGGACAATCATTTCAGAAGGAATGCAATCCCGTGAAGGTCAACTTCTAGTTCCAAGAACCAATCTTAAGACAAGCATATATTGGAACAAGCCACTAAACGCTAAGCATGATTCGCGGTGCTTGGCGCCTGGCTGGATAAGGCGTAGAACTCCTTGGCCGAGGTAAAATACGAAAAAGCAATCTCGGGTGTAGCTCAAATGAACTTTTGGCAACAGCGCCACCGTTAGATTAAACATGATAAGCATTCGTCATTATTGTTCGGGATGGGATCAGCTAAGACTGCAGGAACTGGGACGGAAGACCGTCGCGCCCCGCTGAATCGAGGCCGTCGCCCGTGCCGTCGTATTGCTCGTTGAGCAGGACTTCAAGCATGTCAAACTCGCCCACCATTGGCCCTGTTCCTCCGAGGCCGTGATCAACAACGGCCGTCGAACTGTTGAAGAAATGATCGAGCGGAAGCGCAAACCAGTCCGGAAGCCCGCCGGAGGTGCCGGAATGATCATTCATTGATTGTGACGGAACATTCGAGCCTTCCATCCCTCCAGCAGGAGGCGATGAGTGCGGCTCATAGTAATTATGGTACACCGACGGTGGTGGAGGCATGAATGAGACATTAATATTCGAAGAATTGATCGGCTGCGCTGGGATGGCTGCCAGCGGATCATGCCCTGATCCCATTGTAGTACTCGTCGCATTATTGCCATCAACGTAGCCAATATTCTGTGCTGCGCTGTGGCCCGGTGTCCATGCATGGTTCGATCCATCCCGACGGTCTTGCGCGCCATCGCGAGGACGCGGTGACTGGTGCCTGGAGACCGGTGCAGAGGTGCGATCTTGACCGTCACCATCACCACCTCGGTCCAACGGGGCAAATCGAAGGAATCTGGTGCGAATGCTGGTCGTAAGCATTTCCACCAACCGAGCAATGGCGTGACTGAGGTGGACATCGTCGACGACACATGTCCTCAACGCTTCCACCGTTCGATCCTGAAGGTCCAGCGATACACGCACATCATCCTCTTTCGCTCCAAGGGTGAATGTCTGCGACTGTTAGCCAGATTTGCCATACATAAAGAAAATGACAGAGACCTACCTTGAGGATGAAGATCATGCCAGACAGAATCCGGAAGCATGTCCGCACAGGAGCGTGCTTGAGGTGATCTCCAGGAACCAGGTCATCCAGTACGGTTTGCAGGATCCGACGTGACGCATCGACAACTTCCTGAATGTATTGCTCGTTGACACGGTACAGCTCCATGAGCATGTGAAACCAATTGTTCGACGAGGGACCAGTGCCCGGTCTTCCGTTCTGAGCCTGGGCAGCCTCGTTGGACATTGTGGTCCAACGGTCCACGACTGCTTGCAGAGCTAATGAATTGACATAAACGCCTGTTGACGGTTAGAACATTATTATTCCAAAATCAAAATAAGTGGCCACTTACGGGTATATTCGTATTCAATCATCAAGATGTGCCGCATGGCAGGTGCGACTAAACAATCAGCATTATGTCAAGAGCAAAATTGGTACACAGTACTTACGGTCAATCGTGTCGATGTTATTCCGCCATTCTCGTAGAAAGGGCTGAAATCGATCAATCTGGTCACGATATCGTCCACTCCTAATCAGTTCTGATGTCTGTTCATTAGATGCGAACAACAGCTGATTGCTCTGATACATGATCTTGGTGATCCCAATCCAGCAGTCATGCATCCGATCAATAGTTGTATCACCACCTTTTGAAGTTGACACAGGAGTTGGTTGGATGTCATTAGTCCACTGTGGCAATGGAAGCATAGAAGGAATTCCCAGACGGCCGCTGCTCTGCGTGATGTAAACGAGAATCAGGCGCCGAAGTCGACGTTTTCGTGTCTGTTCAGCAGGAGTGTCATTCGCAGTCTTCGCTTCGCTCTTATGATCAAAAACTCCCAGCTCAAAAGCCAGCGCTTGTGCGGTGCTCAACAGCATCCAGGACATCCGATCAGACCGCCAAGCGGGCTCCAACCACTTCTGGAAGGCGAGTCTCCCCTCGCCTGACATTTGAGAGGCCCGATGGTGCGTTGGCTCACCATCATGCTCGACCTCCTTCTCAAGGCGAGTTTGAGCGTGCGCGTCCAAGTCCAAGAGTGTATTTTCATCATCACCAGGGGGGAAGTGCAGATTTCTGGGGTGCCAGTCCGTGAGGATCAAGAGCGCCTCGATACTGCCTAGAGATCTCAAGTTTCCTTTGAGACTCACTTTGGCTGCACTCGGGGCCAGGTCAAACGACCGAGGCTTGCTGATTCCAATGCCGTTTCCGCCGAACTTCTCTTGGCCCCAGAAAAGACGCTCAATCATTCCTCGAAGGTAAGACCAGAGTCGATCATGAATGTAGAATGCCCGGGTATATGCCCCATCACCCTTGGGTTTCATATGCCGAGATGCCGTTGTAAGAATAGTAACAGCCAGTACAGGCTCATCAGTGAGAAGGGTGCGATGTGTCGATGGATGTGAGAAATCAGGAATGACGATAGGGCTCAGCGGAGCAAGGTGTTCATAGTAGCTATAACCTGTCAGAATAAAAGCACCCAAACGACGACACAAGAAAGGCGGCCACTCACTATGCCACATATGCCATGGATTCTTCCACTGTGAGCCAACCTGCTCGAACAAATCGCAGACGTGACCAAGCTCTGACCGCATCGACGAACCCTGGATCCTGCAAGTTATCCATAGGTTCATTGTGATCGCGAGTATCCGAATTTGGGTGATCCACGGAACCCGATCCTCCCGTATTATAGAAGTTACCCACGGGCATGGTACCGGATCGAGGCGCTCGCGGGAAGGAGCTGCCTCCGCTTCTAGGAGTCCCAGCCTGTGTCATGGGAGACATCGGAGAATTGAAGGACGAAACCGACCGCCGCGCGGCGTATCGATTCTCGAGGCTCTGACGATTGAGATCCTCCGTCCGCCCTGCCGCTTCGGACAGTAAGTGCAGAGCATCATGACTGTTGCTGATCGCAGGTGACAACAGCTCAACGGCGGTGCGATTCATCATGGGCTGGCTTCCCTCAAGACCAAAGCTCAATCCAGGGCGCTCGCCGAGCGGCCACATGGGAGGGCGCACGGGTCTGGCATCCTGGAACTGTGAAGTAGAGGAGGTAGGTTGATTAGTGCCGTATCGTTGACCGGCATCGGCGTGTGGTATTTGATTAGGTGCTGGAGGAGGTCCCTCGGACCACTTCTGTCGCGAATGTAGACTGTCACCATCGAGCGATGTCGGCTCTGGTCGTGCGCTGTAAGACCCATCCGGCGAAGAACCGTTGGGAGCCGCGTCAGCGACCATCATGCGCTTGTCACGGAGGAGAACCCCATCGGCGCTGTCGTCGATCTCGGAGGGTTTCCGCTTGCGCCTGGTCGCGGAGAACTCGCATCGTTTGCTTTCGCGACGACATCGTACACACGGAGGGGGACGAGGGTTATCGACACCTGAGACGGTAGGATTAGAATTTTTCTTTTCTTTTTCTTCCAACAGCGCGCTTCCTAGTTGCCGTGCAGATAGCATGGCCAAGGTATAGGGCGGAACTCACTGCCAAGGTCACATTTGACCTTGCGCTTGCGGCAAGGGTCGCAGGCCTGATAACCGCGACGATGCTGAGGTTGAGGCGATAGCGACTTTTGCCCTTGGCCGTTCTGCGTATAGATTCCGTTCTCTTGCTCTGTATTGCTGGCAGCCATCATGATCGTGTATAGCCGCCTTCTGCCGGCACAACAGAGGGAAGTGGATTATGGTGGATTTGGGGTATGCCGATGCAAAGCGAAGGGGCCGCCAGAAAGCGGTGGGGTTTGCAGCCGTTTATCAGTTATCACACTTCTCCGGCGAATTTTAAGGGCTTGAGGGCTCCACGTTCCGGCTGCAGGTCCTTTTTCCTCGAGGTAAACCACGTGTAGGCAATGCAATTGTCCCTACTGTCGACGGAAAAATGGATGGAAAGTTCTGCGATGATGAAATGGAAGACAAAGGGTGGATTATGAGATGATGGAGAATGCTATTGACCTCGCTAAGCCAGAATTACGCTGGGTCCAAAAAATGCGGGGTAAAACAGGGGAGAAAAAGTACGGCGCAGAGGACAAAATGGAGAGCAGATAAATTATTCCTTGGATTCTAGGCAGAGAAGCGTTCTGATGGACCCTTTCCGTGCCCTCTCGTTCGTCCCAAGTTCCTCGTGTCCTGTGGTTCATCAATCGTGAGAGGCTTAAGAGGGATATCTGTTATCAATAATAATGCTAAGGTAGCAGACTCCGGACTAATCAGAGCGAATCGCCCAGATTCCCTGTTCTTCCTAATTAAAGCACAGATAACAGCGAAGACAGCGCCCGCTCATTGGGACAAAATCTCCTTGCTAGCCCAAAAACGGCCAGGAACGACAATCCAACAGTAATACGCCAAGGATATGACTGGTGTTGGGGTTTCTAGAACCTGTGGAAGAAGGTAGAAGGTTGCATCATGGCGCCTAACTAGTAACGAATCAAGTGGAAAACTGGGAGAATCGCACGAATGGGAAAAGAGACAGATAAGAGAGGGGTACATGGGTTAGATAAATGGTCGACCGTCGACAAGACAAGACAAACATCGTACTCATCAAGACTACCTAATGAGGCATTATTAGGGAACAGACGGAATGATCTTCTAAGCCACTTGATAGGAGGTTGGGGTGCTGGCCAAGGGTGGGCTTGTTTGTTTGGCCTTGTCTGACGCGAGGTCTCCATTTAATTTCGAGCTCGATCTCACGTCTTTGCGAGGGAAGATCGACTCATTATAACCAACGCTGTCCTCGCTTCCCCGTCGCGACAGGCTGGGAGTCAGCCGTTCTTGGAGAAGACCACGAATCCCACCGGCCTTGCGTGCTGGGACCTCCGAGGTACCAGCGGTGAGAACGTACAAAAGATATTTCAGGTTGGGGAGGGTATGTCGAATATCCAGTGCTCGCAGGCTTAGCTTATTCAAAAGAAACTCAATGTCTTTGTTCAGCAGGAAGACACCATATTCAAACCGGTACTGGACATTGACCGGGTACAAAGGGTAGGTCCGTTGAGGTAATGAGGCGGACACCGGATCTTGAACCAAGGAGTTCGACAGATACGGATTGATCGGGTATGGCATCGGAACTGATAGGTAGAATGAAAGCAAGTAAACCAGGTGCGCGGTATACCCCAGTGCGGCCGCGACGGCATCCCGATCAATGTCGCCGAAATTCGAGTTGGGAAGGGGGAGCCCGGCGATAGTGAACGCCAGCGGCTTGTCAGGAATCGGCTCAATGGGGTAAATCGTAAGTAAGTCTTCGGAAATGCGCCGAATTTGACCTTTGGTCTCTTCTGTATTCTGTTTCAGTACCTTGGAGCAGGCGGCCAATTTCTGCTGAGCGTCTGGAAGATGACTGCGAGCCTTTTCCTGACTATACCGTCCACGCTCCATGGCTTCTCTTCTAGCTTTGATACTGGCAATAAGTTCCTCTTTGCGCTTGCCTGTCGTCCGGAGCTGTTTTTTCGCCGCCGCAACGGCATGCTTGGTCACGGCAAGCTTATCTTGGGCGCGGGAAGCGTCGCTCGTGAGAGCCATGGCATGATGATTCTTTTCGAGAATCGCACTAATCTGCGACTCCAGTTTCCCTCTCGTGGCCAGTGCGTCTTGAATGCATTCGTCCAAATTCGCCAAGCGCATCAGGGCATCGTAGGAAGACGTTGGCAAAACGACTCCGTCTGAGAATTTTGACGCGCCCGCAAGTATCAGGGTGTTGGAGGATGGAATGCCAGTTAGATTAGTATACACACCGTCTGTCAGATGGAAAAGGACGGAATTCGAGGGCAAGGGTTGGTGGAAGCTATCCAACGATTTGCCTAGAAACTGTAGCGATTGCAGACACAATTGCAGTTCGACCAGCAACAAGTACTCCTCCATGGCCGTTGCTTTCGCCCAGAGTTTGAGAGTAAGGCAATCCGCGCGGGAAACTTTCGGTCCGCAAACATTCAGATCAAAGGCCTTGAAACTGGGGTTCGTAGCATTCTCCACAACTTCGCTCACATACACAGGCGTATCGATGCCGTCGCAATGAATTGAGAACCACGAATCTGCCATCCTGGTCTTCGTAATATCCTCCAGCTTAATCTGTCTCATCCGTGGATTAGGGTCATTCCACGGCAGCATGCTTCTCCTCCGTAGTCGCGATGCAGGTTGTTGCTCGGCATCGTCACGGTTGTCCGATACGGCGGGCGCGGACTTGAGGTCAGCAAAAGATCGTGACTGTGGCAAGGGCCGGCTTGCGCCTTGAGCTAGGAGTTTGGAAGGGGATTGTAGAGTATATGGGATCTCCTCATCGTCAATAGTCTTCCCACGAGGCCTGCTCAGGGGGGGAGTGATGACAAGGTTGCGGATCGAAATGCCTTGTAAATGTCGGAGCTTGCGGTTCTATAGTCAATGCATCAGCAGCGGTACAGAAACTATTCATAACTAAATGTTTCAGATACCGAAGGAAACAACCACGGCCTTTCACGGCGAGTGCCAGCCTCGTCCTTGTCCAGCCCATACGAAGTGTTCGCTGTCGGCGACATTGCAGGCGGTCGAGGACTCAGCTATAGCGGTGCGAGGGTTTTATTCGTCCGATCATTCTAGTTAGTGTCTGGATAATGGTCTCGTCAACGTAAACTGAGAAAATAGCTCTTGCAACTATTTTTGCGCTGATTCCCAACTGGAAGAATGAAGATGGTGATGATCATGCTGTTCCCCGAGCATAAGTGACGCTGCGGAGATCCCGATGCTGGCGTCGATTCGCCCATTCTGTTCCTCCGACAAAAATTGATCCACCCGACACTTTCCTCACTGCCCAGAAACCGTGCAGCTCCCATCACGAAGCTAGATCAACCACTACACACTCCACAGTCTCGAGTTCGCAATGCGCTAGAGTGAATTCACTCTATTGATTCTCATCAACACCTCAGATCCATTTAGGAACGCCGAGCGGTGTTTTCGGCCGCAATGGCCTCTCAGTCGTTCAACAAACCTTTCCAAAAGATCTTGGACCCAACTAAGATCGGAACCTGGAATGTCGTCCGTCGTCCACCGGTCGAAAATCACAGTCTTATTCAGGGAAAGCCTCGGGAACAAAACTCGAATGCTTTCAAGACACATCAGTGGAAGGAGGGAGTGCGGTTAAGGAAGGCGCTCAATGCCATCACCCACGGCAAGAATATCTTTGCCTACCACAACATCCGGACTAACCAGGTGGTGTACTCATTGACAAGATATCTGGAGGTGCGTACCCTCATCATCACTCTGTCCCATTCGTCCTTCTAATATTTTGCTTGCAAATGTAGAAAAACAGTGTCCTCCGCCAACTCATCTACCACGGCAAAAAGACCGTTCCCGCAACCCTTCGAAAAGATATGTGGGTGCCCTACTACTCAGTGCACTTCACCGACTCCAAGATCGGGCTGCGTGCCTACCACCTCCTCCGCGAATTCTCCATGCAGCGCCAGCTCGCTCCCCCCCGCGAAATGATCACAATCACCGAACAATTCCTCGCCCAGAAGCGGCCCCGCAACCCGGAAGAAGCGAAGAAATTCGACGAAAAATACGCCGACAAGATCGGCTGGTTGATGGAGAAGAAAGACCGGGCCCGCGCGGTCATGGATCAAAAGGCTACCAGCGTTGCGGACATCGCGGCTGTACTCTCCATCCAGGAGGATGAGATCGCGAATGGGTTTGCGGATGGCAAGAGGGGGTATCTGACTCCGGCTGCTCGGAGACGGAGAAGGGAGGCGAGGAAGAAGGAGCAAGAGAAGACTGCCGAGCAGGCTGAGCGTGTGGCTGCTTTCGCGCAGACCCTGAGCACGCCGGAGGTCGACTACACGATCCAAGAGCCCAATGATGACGCGGACCTCCTGGGAGACAACGGTGTCAAGATCCTCTGGTCTGATATCCACAACGCTCGCTTTGCGGAGAAATGGCCTGATCGTGTCTGGCATGGCGAGTTGGATCTAAGCCGCGACCATGTTATGCCCGATGAGAAGCACATCCCTGGCAAGGAGGATTTGCTGGCGAGCGGTCAATTCAAAGAGAAGCAGGCTTAGATGAAGAGCGGCGTGTTCGATGGTATGTAGGAATCGGCGATGGATTGCGCTGTGGATATTCCTATCTCTTCAACGTGACTTTGCGCGCACTATACAAACTGTACTTATAGATGCTACTTTACTTTTGTGCTTGGGAATGATGATGGCGTTTAGCAGAGGATATTTGATTCATCTGATAACCCAGTAACCTGTTGGCAAGACCACAAGAAAATGTACTGCTTGCGGGCCGGGTAATCTGAGTAGATCAGCATGGCATATGGAATTTATATCTGAGCAATATGGCGATACAAAGGCAGGATTGTGCTGGCAGGGAAATGTGAAAACCAGGTCAAGCTCCGCTATCCCCGGTTGCGAAGTGAAAGATCCCAGATAGGCAGCAAAGTGATAAGATAGAGTATGAGAACGAGAGATATGGAGGGGCGCAGGTCATCCGGCTTCCTGGAGCGATTGCACACTCAAACCAATCAACACCAGTGAGTAGCAAAAACTGAGCAGTATAACGAGAGAGCAGGACGAAGCTTTGTTGTTCGTGTCCAAAAATGCCAGGCGTAGAGAACTTTCTATCACGTCGTTGGACGCAGCCATTTCAGTTCTGTAGTGCGTGAAATCACCACTTATGTACTTCCATTAATTGACTCTACCTTCTTCGGCGGAGTCTCCTTGTGCTCATCAATAGGCACGTCGGGCCCTGGCCCATCATCAGCCATCTTCTGTAAAACCTCATCCATGACTTTCTCTGCTGGCTCGGCATCATCGGTGATTTCTGTATTGGCCATGCTCTTTCTGGCCCCCTCGACAATCTTATCAGCCTCACTCACTCCATATCCCGCATGCGTGGCTGGATCACCATCAACACCGATCGGGTCGACCGCGCGGTTGACGACCTCCTTGACACGGTTGTTGTCAAAACGAATCACCATGCAAGAGAGGTTATCGGTGCTGAAGCGAGCAAGGGCATGGTCGACCAGCATTTTTGAGGCTTCCTGAGCATCCTGTATATTCCGTATCAGATCTACGGCTTCTTGGTCACTACATACGTCCCACAACTGTCGAAGCATTAGCATCAATAAGAGCCGGGAAAGAGGAAGGATGCTCACCCCGTCGCAAGCCAGAATGATAAACTCATCTTGATCGGGTTGGATGACTGTCTCCGTAGTGTATGGGTGGCCAGTCACAAGGTCTTTGAGATAAGCATCACCTAGAGCTCGCGTGACCGCAAGAACTCCGTTTACTCGGTTGTTAAGTATCAATCCTCCAGCGTTGGCAATCCGTTTCCCCTCGTTTTCGTCACTGCCTTTGTGGTCATAAGATAAGCGCAGCGCTTTACCGTTGCGACATAAAATGATGCGAGCGTCACCAACATTCGCAGTATAGAGAACTCGTTGACGGGCAGCTTTCTCTTGCAATGTTGGAAGCACAGACACAGGTGCTGATTGAGTTGGCGTGTTGTCAGCTTCCGAGTTGGGTTCGGCGGCGGCGGCAGCGGCCGGAGCCAATGCAGAAGAGCCGGTCACGGAATGAGAACTAGGGACTCTGTCTTCCCAGCGTAGAAGAGCAATGACTGCGGTACAGCCGCTGTTTTTTAACGGCAGCTTCTCCAGCTGCTGGTCGACAGAAGTGAAAGTCTGGTCAAGCAATTCTGGAACCGGAGTGTTGGGGTTTTTCCGCATGACCTCTTCCAGAATCAAATGCAGCTTCTTCCCACACCATTCGGCAGCAAATGTGCCCGCATGTCCGTCGAAGATCGCGAAATACCCATTGTCAGTTTCGACAACGCTGGTTTCTTCTACAGCTGTAGGCGAGACATCACCGGACTGTCTTTTGCCATTGGCATCAGCCTGGCCAGAGGGTGCGGGCGTCCCCAAGAAATTGTAGAGGTATGCATGGGTATCTTCCATAGTCCGACGACATCTTCGGTTCCGGTCCTCTGTGACGCCAACTCTGAATGATGAGCGGGAGGTGGGTAATGATTCGCCGGCAGAATTGTTCAACGACCCTTGAGGGACAATCAATGCCGGGTCCATTCTCCCAAGTTTGTGGAGAGAAGAAGGTGGCGAGTGAGCCACGGTAAGGGTCGCAGCGGCTTCACGAGAGTTGCTCCAACTTAACGAGTTTTTGGCGTTGGAGAACAATGTCGCTGCTTTGGTGACGGTACTGCTTCTCCTCTTCTTGTCGCCACCAGGGCTCGGTTCGTCGCTCGCTCTGCGACCAAAGAATCCACCGGGAGGTGAAAATTTCTTCTGGGATACGGTAGCTTCGTCGGTCTTGACGGTCAGGGACGGGGTATTGATGGCCTCCGAGTGTGGAATTGTTTCTAGTTTATCTTTGGGTGGGCTCGAGGAGCCACTGAACATTCTGTTCAGCAACCCACCCTGGCTAGAAAAACTTCTTCTCTTATTACCTGCCAGCTTGATAGGTAGTCCTCTGTGACGGAGAGAAGTTCAGTGAAGGTGTACGACGGGAGTTACGGCGGTAGTGGAGAACGGCAGGTAGCGAGGAACTGACGTAGGAGGAGAGGAAGTGCTGCTGCGGACTTCGAGGGAAAGAAGGCTATGATATAGATCGTCAGTAATTGATCCTACGCAAAGTTCAATGACTATAATGCGAGCAATAATGACTGTTAGCGGATTAGAGAATCAACCCAACCTAACCCAGCAATGCCGGTGGAGGATGATGCTATCCAACAACCGCCGTGGGAGGGATTCTCAAACCCTCCTGGTAAGGGGCTGAATGGGTGACCAAGGGACAAAACACAAATTACAAGGTCATCAGGATCAATCCTTCAAAAGACCCTGGGCGGCTATCCTCAGTCGGGTGTCATGGGCGCTTGAATGGCAACCCCACTGCGCGTCGATGGGAACGGTATGGTATCAAGCCGCTTCACCAAATCAAAGGGAAGGTAAACACTCACGGAAATGACAGGGTAGTATCTAGAGATTGTCTGGTCTCCTCTATTATCGATAGCTGTCAAATAGATGCAAAAAGACGTGAATAGATGGTAGCGCAATGCAGACAGATGGTTGGGGGGTGGAACTGATGGATGCTTATTATTAGCAGCAGCAGCAGCAGTAGTGATTACTACTAACAACTAATAGTACCTAATCCTGGGGAGAGGGGAAGTCTGCCTTACTGCCTTGGGAACTGTTTAGGTCATTGGGTCACCTAAGTTGCGGATACGCTAGGCCTAATATGGCAACGCTGGTGATGGCCGACACAGAGGAAGTCCCGAAACGGCGGGAAGACGGAGATAAACTGGCCGAGGATCGGGGATGGTTGGAGACGGAGATTGTGCTCTCAACTAATGCAGCAAATTATATTCTTAGGGGAACCTACAGGCTATCTTGTGTTATAGTACCATTGGTTTACAGGGCTGTCTGCAAGGCAGCTTAGCTGCCTATGACATGCAAATAGCCACCATAGGTTTCCCTTCAGATTTGAGAAGTAGATATGTGCGATCGTCATACAAGGCTGACGTACTTCTAAAGTACGAAACCTGCTCAATCCCAGGAACTAAAATCACCAAAGCCACCGCCACCCTTGAATTTCTTTCGTGCAGGTTCAGGCTCCGGCTCCTCATCCACAAACTCAACAATCTCGTCTTCCTCCTGATTTGCCTGGTTCGCTAGTGCGGCCTTGAGGTACTTCCCTACTCCCCCAGCCGAGCTCTCGCCCGCTTCTGTCGCACCAGGTCCTCGGACTCGTTTCCCAGTCCAGGTTACGCGATCATCGTCTATCTCCTGAGATGTCTTGGTGTCATCTGTCGAGGTCGTACCTTTCGCCTCGTCTGCCTGCTTCTGTTTCAAAAACTCCTCGAATGGATCCACAAAGATTGTTACGTCTTTGATGCGGATATCAGGAGTAGGTCGGTTGGTTGTAGCATTCACTGGGTGCATTTCCATGCTGTTCAAGGTTGGCGATGAGGGCGTTGGGTCATCTATTACGTGACCGAAAATCGTATGTTTGTTGTTCAGATGAGGCAGCGCGCGGTACGCGATGAAGCTGCGGCCATTGTCAGCATTTGAATTTAAGACAACCAGACACGGAAACCAAAACTTACAATTGACTGCTGTTGGTGTTTTTGCCTTTGTTGGCCATACTTAGGGTTCCTCGAGAGTCGTGTTTTAAGGGTCCTTCGAACTCATCGTTGAAGTATTTGCCCCAGATACTCTCGCCTCCGCGCCCAGTACCTGTAGGGTCACCACCCTGGATCATGAATCCCTTGATATTGCGGTGGAAAGTGACATCTTTGTAGTAGCCTTTCTTGGCCAGTTTGATGAAATTCCACACCGCTTTAGGCGCATACTCAGTGTGCAGCTCCAGATTCACGTCGCCTAGCGTAGTCGAGATTCGAGCATAACCCTTTTGCTTCACTCGCCCTCGCTTCAACATATACTCTTCATCTGAAAGAAGTGCAAGCTCCGCAGAAGTATGCGGTGTCATACCAGTGCTTGTAAACGACGCAGCGGCCAGACCAGTAGTATGCCTCGCCGCGTTATACGGAATAGGTTTCCCAGCCTGGTGTGAAACGGTCTTTTGCGACGCAGCTGCGGCACTCGTACCGAACCCCGGCTTTGTCAATCCTTTCAAGCCGGCAGCCGACTCGGCGCGCTGAGCCCTCTCAGCACGGGCCTTCGCCACGGCTTCCTTCGCCTTCAGGATCTTTGCCGCGTTGCCCAGCGCATTGACATTGACATTATTGGACGGATCCTCTCGTTCCCGTATTTGTTCATCAGTCAACGCGCTCTCTCCCTCCTTCAAATAATTGAACGAACTCAGATTCCTCGACTCGATATTCTGCGGGTCTTGTAGCGTGATTATATCTTTGCGACTGAACTCCTCATCCGTAACAAGATCGCGCCACAACTTTCCCTTGATATTCAACCGCTCGACAGTATCCCATGCAAAAACATTGCCCGTATTGCGCAAAGCGACGATGTGCGTGTTGTCCGTCAAGACCTTGTACGTGACCGGATCGACATACTCGCCCGACTCGTTCTTCGCGATATTAAGCTTGATAAGGTCGGAACTCTTCAGCGGCGACCCATCCACGGGGTTTGTACCGTGTTTCTTAATCCAGGGCAGGATGTTGGTTAGGTCGAATATGGTTCCCGAGGGTGTGCAGACCGGATGCGAGAAGGGCTGAAGTGAGAGGGAGCAGAAGTTGAATGGGAGGCGTCTGAAACCAGCGTGCTCTCCTCCCCGCCTCGCTTTCCCTACACCAGCGCCTGCGCTGGCCGAATATGCATCCTCCGACGCCCACTCGGAGTGTGTGATCTATAAGAATTCATGTTAGCCGCTTGCGACACCGGAGTCGCGGAGGCAGAGGAAGCGTGACACAACATACGTAAAGCTTATCCGTTCCTAACAAGTTAAGAGTCAGTCGCAAGCAGTAGAAAATAGTTTAATGGAGTTACTCACCCTTGCCCATTTTGCAACTTTTAAGGAGCGGGGATTTATCTTGGCCAAATTTGTAGCCGACTTCTTGTTCTTCGGCGCAGCTGGTAGGATTATTTCCAGATATGATGTATCGGTAGGCGCTAGTACGATTAATCTAACCCCTTAAGGCTAGCGCGGTAGTGAGGAGATCATCTCCATTTTTAACTAGTTCAAATGTCACAACAGTACTAGCGTCCATACAAGGGCTAGTACAGAAAATGAAACGTGCCTTGACATTGGGAGTCCTAAGCCTGTACAGCTGCGTCTTCACAATTCATAAACTCAGCCGCTATTGTCTATTCTTCCTAGATCGACCGGCTCAACACAGCATGGAATCTGGAGCATACAGTTGAAGAGGTTGGTTTTATTCTATTGCTCCTGGAGATCGAGGTTCTGAGTTGACCATTATAGATTATGGTTGAACTCCAGATATCGATTCAAAGATCACCTTTTACCGTAGTATAATAGATGTACAATACAGCATTGTGTGAATCGTGATAATGTAAACTACATATAGTACATGCTTTATTAACGTATGCTGACTTGAGGAGGGTAGCATATGCAGAATCTAAACTTGCTCTCAATGGCCGCAGAACGTATCCCGCAAAACACACCTTTATAAGAATTTCAAGAACGACCCATAACGCCCGAAGTGTATTTTTATCGTTCAAAAATCGTCAATAGGGAGTCCATTGCCCTGTTCAAGCAGGAGGAGGTTGGAAGCGAAGAGGTACCACCCAGCGATTCCCAAAGTCGATACCGTGCCGACGACGAGTGCCGTACTTACGCCAAACTATTTGCGGGATACCGATGTCTGCGACGGAAAGTTTCCAGGAAAGTCCCTCTCCAGCCAGGAGGGCATTGACGACTCCCGTTTTGGGGGCTCCGAGACAGACTACAGATGTGGAATTGACGCATACTCGGCCGTCTTCGACCATAGTCACTTCGCCTGCCAAAATGTCAGAAATTTGCAGGCATGCATAGGAAGAGGTTTTCGAACTCACCACTGGAAGCAGATAGGCCAGATGGAACATCGACGGACAGAATGTCAAGGTTACTACGGTTGACCCAAGCGATCATCTCGAAAGCGATAGCTTGATCGTCGGTGCGCAGGTCCTCAAAGGATATGTGGATACCGAAGAGTGCATCAACAACCAGATCAGGCGCAAAGTCAGAGCTTGTGAGTTGCGCGGAAAGATCTTCCCATCTGAAGACACGGCCGCCAATCTTCTTGAATACATCCAGCTGTTTGCGGCAGCTTTCAAGTAGCTCGTTCTCGTGTTCCAGACCCAGAACACATAAAGTGACACGATGACCACGATTACGAAGATGGCGCGCAGCGGAAACAGCTCGGGCTCCCGTACGATGGTTGCCAGTAAGTACAACGATCGTGGAGGCAGCAGCGTCATTCGACAAGAGACCGACGGCAGCTTCTGCTATGTCTCTGCCAGCGTTCTCGGTGATCATATCTTCCGTCAACCCGAGCTCTGCGACTGCAATCTGCTCCACTTCAAGAGTTTGCAACGGGCTAACTGTGGGGCAGCTGCGATTGGTAGTCGTAAGGCGCAAGGAAGCTCCTGGTACAACGGCGCCGGTCATTGGTGAGGCTGACACAGGTGTCTTATTAGGCCGAGGACTTGTAGTACGTGATGAGCTTAGCTGGCTTCGCCCGATTGAATTGATCTGCGGTGGAACCAAAGGTTGACCCAGAACTGCGCTTCCCTTCCGGGACTCGCGTGCACGTGCCGATGCCCTGGATAGTTCGCGACCAGAATAATTACCGCCGCTGAGCTTCGCATCGCTCCGTCCCTGGTCGGAATCTCCGTTCTCACTTTCCTGAGGGCTGTCGAGTACGTTTTCTGTCCAGTGGAGATTCTTCCCACCATTTGTTCCAGGCCTCGGTCTCCTATTGAAGCTGACCAATCGCTCCTCATCAGCGGTAGTGTCGTCGTTTCTAATTTCCTCGAAAACTCTTCTTTTATCGAACTTGGATAGATTGCTTTCGAAATCGAAGTCGCCCATCTCCTGGATATCTGTTGCGTCCTCAGTTGCCCAGCCATTGGGATCTTCAGCGTATCCACGACCCTTCTTCCTGCGCCGTCGTCCAGTAGAATCAGGAAAGCTTTCCTTGTATTTTTGTGGGGTTTTAAATTCAGATGTGTCGGCCGGCTGGACGAATGCAGTCTGGCGCCAGCCCTTGGTTTTCGGATTTGTATTATTTGCCCCATCGTGCTCATTGACGGCGACGTTTTGAGGATGCCCTGTCCGACCACTCCGGCGGCTTCGCTTAGTCGTAAATTGTGAAGCGGCTTGTAGAGGCGCCAAGCCTTCATTTTCATCCAGCGCATCATGCGGCACTTCCGTCTGCGGCGCGACCTTAGTAGCTTTAGCATTGTTGTCAACATTCAGCTCCAGATTGCTGAATGGCTCTGTCAGGGCAGCTGAAACCGTCGTGTCTGCATAACGAGCTTGTTGGGACGCCTGAAACTGCTGAGCGCTCAGCACATTCGGGATGGATTGACTCTGTGAAGTAGGCGGACTGAATGATTTGGAAGGCGGCTTTCCATAGCTGACAATCGCCGGATCAACAAACGATTGTTGAGTTGGAGTTGCGGATGACTCGCGGGGATGTTGGTTTTCTAGGTTGGTATAGGTGGTCTGCGTCTTAGAAGGCCCCAAAGAGAGATCTGCAATGTCGGGAGCTTCGATGGAATAGGTAGGCAATTGTTGGCCGGTCCAAGAAAGTGTAACTGAGAACCACAAGTTAGATCGATACGACTCAGCCTGATCAAAACAAGCAACACATACCGTTCCGTAGCATCAGACGTTGGCCAATGACGTTGGCCACCACTCCTTGAATGCTTGCATTCGGCGGCGCTCTAAGCGTCACGAAGACATTGTAGCCAATAAACTCCGACGCCATGCCTTAGAGCAGATATGAGTAACTCATGTACCGCTGTTCTGATGTTTGAACAGCACAAAGGCTGCGAGAGAAGGTGAGGGGAAGTAGAGGAAGGAAAGTGTTGTACAGCGTCGCAAAAGTGAATTGTCAGGTTGCAACCGTCTTGGTTTAGCATCACGTGCAGAGTATCTTATCGATAAGCAAGAATGTGGGGCTGCAGAGCTATGCAGCCAGATTGTTTATGTTGGACGGCGAAAGCTTGTCTAGAGGACGCTTGTTTCTTCGACCAATCCAGCAGAAAAATCCCGATTTTGCCAATCTAATGCAAGTCTACTGTTGTCCTTGATTGACCTAGATTGACTTTGGTAAGTGCTTGGGAGAGATACCACTGTTTCCGGAGACTAGGTCTTTTTAAGCTGGCCCGTTATGCGGCCGACAACGACGTACATGCAGTATATTAATGAATAATTCCATTGAACATCACCCGGATATCGATATTTGCACCATTGCTCAAAGATAAATAGCCCATAATAATAACATATAGAAGAAATGGATGACGCAAGGCCTAGACCAAGCCGCTAGCATCACAAAATTCCACGTTGATTGTGTATCCCACCCTCAACCGTAGAGATGCTGCAAAAGCTCTTCGTCAACCAATTGATCATCTTCTTCAACTTCTTGATGGTCGCGAGGCTTTGAGATCTTTGGAGCAAGAATATCGCTAATACTAACAAGGTTGGAGTAGAATTCTATGACCTTGGGATGTACCATGACCTTGCGTGCGTCGAATCTGGTGACTTGAAGACCAGCTTTCGAGGTTGCACGACTCAAAGCGACATAAGCCTGTCCTTTTTCAAATACCCGCCCAAGATCGACCTTGACACGCTGCAAGGTCTGCCCTTGCGCTTTGTGGATGGACAGTGCCCAAGCGAGGATCAACGGTACCTGTTGGCGCTGGGCTTGCACTTCGCCGTTCGGAAGCTCAATCTTCCAAGCCTCTGGTTGGCAGAGCAAGTGCCGCTCTGTTCCATCTGGCTGGACGAAACAAACAAGAGGCCATTTTCGACTTACCACGACGCCTCCATCCTTGTTACCAAGACCCTTCAGCTTCTTGTGAGCTTGGTTTAGTCTCTCGTCGTCACTCACAACATCTTGCCCACCAGCGAATTCGCTCTCATTGTCGCGATAGTATTCGAATGTCGCTTCATCCATGAAGGCGACAACTCGCCCAATGGAGCCGTTGACAAGCGAATCTTCCATATTTTTGATCAGCATTACCTGTGCACCTTTCTTTAGGTGTATGACAGGTGGTGCCATGCAATTGGCCAGCAATTTTTCACGAAATTGGACATCTTGAATTGTCCCTGAGTCAACTGCATGAAAGGTCATTGTCTCGCCGGAGAGCCTGCTCATCCGTGCGCTGTTGGCCTGCTCCACTTCTTGACGAGTAGGGAATCTGACAATGACATGTTAGTCTCATCAACGGCTGGGAACAACTGGGATAACTTACAATTCCGTCGCTTCAAGTGCATCATGAAAGTTCAGCGGACGGGATAGGGACTTGAACGTCTCGATTGTGCGAGGGCTCAGTTTACCCAGTCTCATTTCGTTGAGCATTTCGGCGAAATCAGGGTCTTTTTGACGAAAAACATGTGTGAGGAGAATGGTATGCTGGATCGATGTATTCCAAGTAGCCGCTGCAAAGGCAAACTTCGCCTCTCGGTTACTACCTTCAGGCACTGGAGGCAGCTGAAAGAAGTCGCCAGTAACGACAAGTTGAATGCCTCCGAATGGACGGCCATTATTTCTGATTCTTCGGGCGATTTCTTCAAGCTTGTCGAATAAGTCACCATCGACCATAGACACTTCATCGATGATGAGCACCTTGGTGCGAAGCCAGCGATTCCGTGCTTTCTGATTTCTCTTGATCTGTAGTTTGACTGTTAGCGAATATGACCGAAGTAGAGGAAGAGAACTGTCTAACTTTCTTGACCAATTCGGGAACAGGCTCTTTACCCAGCCCAATTCCAGCAAAACTGTGCAAAGTGACACCCTCAATGTTACAGGCAGCAAGACCGGTAGAAGCTGTG